GGGGGTGGGGGTGGGGGTGTGTGTAAAATTCTGATAAAGTAAATTAGTATGTTGCTACTTTGAAACAGCGTCTTAACGTAGTAAGGTTGTTTTGGTTTTGCCTTGCTTTGTTTTTGTTGTTTCTTCCAAATCCTAAATACAAGTAATAGTGGTTCCCTCCCTTCATTGTGACCTCTGCTCAGATGTCACAGCCTCTGACCACCCCTGAGCCCCAGTCACACTCTTAACTGTTTACCCTGCTTAACCTGCTCTGTTCATATCATTGACCACTTCCAGGGTTTGGATTATTAGTGTTTGATGGGGCATACTCCTGCTTCTATATTAAATTACCCAGTCTGTAAAGGCAGTATTTGTAGATCCCTTACTTAGCACAAAGTAGGTACCCAAAACATATTTGTTGGGTGAAAGTATGCCAAGCAAATGAAACAGAATTTCCTTTCTGATTGGGTACATCAACTCCCATTTCCTTCCCCTACCAGGGGTAATACCATAGTGATTTCTGCTAGGCAGGCACAGGAAGGATAAACCAACCCTTCCTCCAAATGAGACCCAGCTGCATAGACCAGCATACTCTTAGCTTTGAGGAAATAATTTTATTTAGTGAAATGAGTGAGGATCTTCTCTCCTTGCATAAAATAGGGATCAACAGAGAGAGGAGAAAGCATTGCTTCTTGAGAGAATCTGTAACCATTTGTTAGCAATTACACATTAGCCTCCTGTGTTGTATTTTCGTCTGTTTTATAAGTTATAAACTGTTCTGATGTTGCCCATAACAAGGAGCTATGTGTGTTTCAGAGTTTTCTATTCATAAGCCTTTGGGAAGGCTTTCCCTGTGCCAGTCAGATCCGGAGAGGCTGAGGGCCTCCGGGGTGTATCAGATGCCATGGTCAGGAAGCTTCCGTTGAATCCATGGTGTTGGAGGCACCCCGGCTTTGCTGGCCAGCTCGACATGCTTGAGATTCATAATTGCCTCCCTGAAAACTCGCTGGCAGTGTGCTTGGGTTAAAATATGACAGGGAATTGTCTTTTCTCTAGCTGAACTGTAGTAACTGTTGAGCTCTACTTTTGTTCTTTTCTGGCACAGAGTAAAGTGGTAAGAAGATTGAAGTCACTAAAAACTTAGTCAGGCTTGCTTGGGATGTTTATAAAAACGAGGAAAAGAGGAGATAGACTTCTTCATTGTGCCTTACACCAAAGGCTTCAAGAAGGGGCTGGGGATTTAGATCAGTGGCACAGCGCCTGCCTGGCAAGCGCAAGGTCATGAGATCGGTTCCCGGTACCGGAAACCACCCCCCCCAAAAAAAAGGAGTAAAAGAAACTGTAACAGATGCATTTTTATGAGTCTGGTTTTTAATATAAAGCTTCTTTTGTAGGATCTTATTTCCACAAAACTAACTTTCTTCGCTGTAGATTATAGATGAAATCTTGAAGATGAATGAAGATACCAGAGTACATGGCCTTGCCCTCCAGATCTCCGAGGACTTGTTCAGCAACAAAGTGCTCAATGCCTTGAAGCCAGAAAAGGATGTGGATGGGTAAGGAGCTGTGAAAGAAAGCAATCAACCTTTATTATGAAATCAGCTTTCCTAATGAGTTTTTTTCCTATATTCTTTCTGAGGTTTTTTTTGTGTGTTTTTGAGACAAGGTCTCCCTATGCAGTTCAGGCTGACCTTGAGCTCACTTTGTAGCTCAGGCTGGCCTCGAACTCACAGCCATCCTCCTGCCTCAGCCTCCCGAGTGCTAGGATTACAGGCATGCACCGCGACACCTGGCTGTTTTGTTTTGTTTTTTTTTTCTAATGTGTTAATTAGGAGATGAAAGAAGTCATTTTAAATATTTCAGGGGTTTGAGAACTTTTAAAATTCTATGTATGAAAGTTGCTATCTAAGAAAATACACATGCCATTTTGTAATAGTTGCGTGCATTTTGGAAAAGAAAAATCTCATTACACTGTCATACTCATTTAACATGGTCCGGTCTTACTTACAGAGTCCTGGGGCTGCTCTCCTGATCTAACAGTTTTCCCTTGGTAATTTTACTAGACCAGAAGAGAAACCCGAGACCTGATTTCCCCAACAGCATCATGCTCTGCTTTAGTTCCAGGCCAGTTGAGAGAAACCAAACAAATACTCTTAATGACACAAGGCCTTATTTGAAATTTGAGGCAGATGTAGGGGAAAGATCATAAATATCAGGTGCTCTGTCTGATGCGGGTCTTTGAGTCACATCATGTTGTGAAATTAGTAAGCTTCAGAGGACAAAGAATACTGCTGGTCTGCAGTGAGGGATCAGCAGGTTTCCTGGGGATTAAAAACCCCATTTTCCTACATGGAAATACAGCAAATATTTTGTGCTGTGGCTAAAAGGAACACAAGTATGTAAAGTTGTAAGCAACTTTATAATGACTCCCAGGCTGGTGTCTCCTGCAAGGGCTGGACTGAGAAACTGCAGTCTCACTGAGACACCCAGTCTTCTATCCCATTCTGTTATTGTACCTTGGTAGTCCCAAGCGCAGGTTAAAAAGTTGTTGTGAGAACTGGGAGTGTAACTCATAGTATTGTACGTGCTTAGCATGTGCAAGGCCCTGAGTTCAATCCGCAGCACTGCACAGATGTAAAAAGTGGTCAAAAATCTCCAACCCTATAGTAGACTCACTGTAAAGAGAGAAGCCCTAATTGATGAGAAAACATCCAAAACCTGAACATTTGAAGTGACAGCTTTATAATTTTCATAAATGGAGAGAAGTATTGAAAAGTTTTCTGAATGTCTTTATTTTGTTACTAATCTAGACTGAGACCATCAGTTCAGGAATGTTTTGTGCTGCACGGGAACAAAGAAAGGCACAGAGACATGCAGAGAATGGGGTCACTCAGTTTTTTTCCCCTGATTTCCCAAGAAGATACATACTGAGGTCAGATGGGGTTCTGACTTGTGAACCCCACGTTTTCCTGGGTCATTGCAGAGCTGCAGGATGGGTTCCAGGGTTTTGGAAGTGGAAATGGTTACAGGTGTGCCTTTCTTTTGCAGTCCCTTACGGGTGCTCCCTGGATTGTAATGTAAAGCCCTCGGGGCCCTCGGCTGTGTTCTGATGCTGGATAGAATCAGCACGCCAGTCCTAGGGGCCAGAGCAGAGTTCATTGAGGGGCTGCTCTCAGAAGCTGATCACATTCACTTCCTGCCTGTTCTTTGATTCATCTTTAATATAGTCTATCTATCAAACATTATTTAGGGTTGGTATGTGTGAATTCCTACTGAGTGATTTTTGACTGGGTTTTCCCTTCCTTACTCCCTTATTTTCTGATTCAGAGTGACAGATATAAACCTGGGGAAGCTGGTGCGTGGGGACGCCCATGAATGTTTCGTTTCACCTGTTGCCAGAGCTGTCATTGAACTTCTTGAAAAATCAGGTGTGGTGCTCCTTTGCAAATGCTCTTTTCTGTTTATTAATATTTTTGTAGTTTTTAAAGTATGAAATAAAGATTTGTTTTTGGAAGATTTAATGAAAAGCACAGAAGCAATGTTGAAATGTTGACTTTCTTTTCCTCAAATTTCCTTATACAAGTGGAGATACAGATGATTGACTGGTAGCTTTTTCTATTAAGATGAACTGTGATAATTTAAAAGAGACCTTAGTAAAAATGAATGTCAGCCTGTTTTAAACATTCTCAGAGTCTCCCGTGAAGCGATCAGAATAACCCCATTGCAAAATGGTTCCAGGTTCAAGTTCCCAAGCCTGTCATTGTACAAGTCTAGGTAAGCTGTACATTTTAGACTGAAAGGCTGTCGCTGTTAGATGTGTAGAACACAAACACTTAGGCTGGGATTTATCCATGAAGAGAATCATTTTTCATTTGTCACTATTCACTTTCCACTCCTCTCCTTTTGACTTTGCATTTTCATGGCAGTGAAATAGAAATGAATAAAAATTTCTCTTTCTTATTAAACTCAGTGAATAAATTAGTACTGAGTATCTCATATATTTAAGGGATCTAGCTGATGACATAAAAGTTCAATCAACTAAAATTTTTTTCTACTCTAATTTGCATAGAAGAGGCAAGTGCCTCTCCTCCATCTGAAAATGCAACAAACAAAAATTCTAAAAATAGATAGCAACATTTTACTAAAAAGATTAACTTTCAGGAATACCCTTTGGATAGTAACCATTCAGTGAAAATCTCTGAGCTGATCCATACGTAGAGTGTTTCTGCTATCAAGACCGTGGTTGTGAGTCATTTCATCAGAATGTAGTAATGTGCTGTAGAAGGAAACACAGGAAAAGGATTGGAGCTCAAAGATTAGAAAATAGAATTGTGGTTAATTGTAATACCTGACTCCCAGCTGAGAGCCCCTGTAAGCTGATTCTGAGAACATCAAGCCTGGAAAAGGGCATTTTTTTCTTAAATTAAAACTGAATGAGAGGAAAGACCTAAAGTTTTAATTATAATACTGGATTTTTTTTGGTTGGTAGGTGTCACCTTAGATGGGAAGAAGGTCTTGGTAGTAGGAGCTCACGGATCTTTAGAAGCTGCCCTGCAGTGCCTGTTCCAGAGAAGAGGGTCCATGACCATGAGCTCCCAGTGGAAAACACCCCAGCTTCAAAACAAGGTAAAGTTTGTGTGGGAAACATGCAGCCTTGAGTGCTTATGTTAGAAATGAAGAAACACAGGAATGTGTAAGCAAAAGATTTAATTTAAGATGTTTGGGGGCTGAGATGTGGCTCAGCGGTAGAACGCTTGCCTCGCATGCACAAGGCCCTGGGTTTGATACCCAGCACCACAAAAAAAAAAAAAAAAAAGTTAGAGGAAGGACAACAGAAAATCTCAAAGGACAATAATAAAAAGCAAATATTAATGAGATAGAAAGCAAATACACGTGACCAATTCTCAGCACATCCAAAGGTCGGTTTTTGGAAAAGACTGGGACAGTGAACACACTACTAGCTCAGGTAAGACAAAAGAGGGAATGCCAACAAGAATAGGGGTGAATAAGGGGACGTACGCACAGAAATAATTTTTTATAAGAGAATATATGTGTATTATTCTTGTAGATTTGAACATTTGTACATGATGAAGACTTTGCTTGACACATGTTGACTTACTCTGGATTTAGATAGAATTGACAAATCCACTTGAAGACAGTGAATCAATTCTGCTTACTGTACAATCAATAAAATGTGTATTTGGACACCATGTGGACGGAGATGGTGTGGAGGGAAACCCAAGAACCTTCACGCCTTTTTTCCTTTTCATAATAGCAAACTTTTTTTTATTGTCTTTACTTTTCTTCATTGAGAGTCCAGGTGGAGCACTGGCGAGAGGAGCGGAGTGGCGTGGGTCACACTGCTCATGACTCGAGGGAGCGGGGTCCCTCCCGGAAGTGAGAGAGTGGGCTGGAGCCTGTGCTCTTCCTTCCCCCTCCGAGGACGCTGACCCTCCTCTCTTCTGTTCTCTTGATCTCTGTCTGTGCACCTGTTGCTGTTTGCAGTTGCTCTTTCCATGGTTTCCGGTATATGGGGTCAACTGGGGTCTTAACGATAAATAGAAATGGAAATAGAAAATGCCTAAGGAAGCTATTGGTAAGTTTTCGATGTACTGCTTTTCTGAATGGTGTGACGCGATCTTGGGCAGCGTGGGAGTCACCCCTTCCCCTAGCATGTCCACCCCATCATCACTGAGTAGCCTTCCTGGCTCTCCGATCGGGGTGGCTGCATCATGGTGCTGTGTTCAGCTCCTCTTTATTTTACTTTATGACGGCTCCAAAGAATAATCGTGATTCTGGCAAACCAGACATGCCAAAGAAAAAGCTATACACTGCTCCCTTTAAATGAAAAGGTGAAAGTTGTTCAGGAGTGTGTCTGTGTATGAATGGTCGATATATTTAGGGTTCAGTACTGTCTGGTATCAGGCATTCATGGGGGGCCTTGGAATGCATCTGATGTAAAGTGAGGAGCTACTGTACACAGAACAAGATCTAAAAGTAATGATCCGCATGTGGCTGTGAGAGAATGTCGGTGAGGAGCATGTTGTGCTCCGGCCAGGGAGGGCAGGTGTCTGAATGGAGCCTTGGAGCGCTTGCATGACAGGTGGATCTAACGGGTGCAGTGCTGATTTTAAAACTGCTCAGCAATGTGACCTGGCAAGAGGGTAGAACCTCTGCACAGCTTTAGTCACCACCACCTGGTGGCAGCCTACTCAAGAAAATGCATGAACAATATTTTAATTTTAAATTTTTTTTTTTTTTTTTCTTTTTTTTTTTTTTTTTTTTTTTGGTGGTATTGAGGATTGAACCTAAGACCTTGTACTTGCTAGGCAAGTCCTCAGCCGTGAGCCAGACCCCCCTCCCCCAGCCCCTATTTTGTACATCAGAGCCCAGGATTTTCTGTTGGGAAGCTTAGTGGAAGACGAAAATAAACCATGCCCTGCACTGAGCAGCTGCAGTAGGAGAGAAAATGCCTTCACTGGCAGTTGAATGTTTTCACAGCTGTCATAGGTACTTTCATTAGTTGTATCTGTATTTTTGAAAAACAAAGACATTTTTCAGAGTACTTTTTTATTATGGAAATAAATCACCTTGACTCTGTACTTTGGGATGGATCTCACCCTAAACTTGAGAAAGGAGGAAGATAGAGCGGCCTGATTGTCTCGAGAGCCGAGAAATTGGAAACACTCCCGTTTACACACGAAAAGGCTCACTCTGGCAGTCGACGTCCGTACACTTTCTGCCCAAGTCCTTAGTGCTCACAGGGAAGCCATCATGACTCCTGGAGGCTCAGGAATGTTATTGCTTTATCTTTGCAGAGAAAACACAAGGAAAGAAAGGGTCAGGGCTGCCCGTCCTTGTCCGTGATGTGGTGGATGTGAGCCTCTGCGTACACCGGGCTCCTCCCAGCCACATGTCACATCTCTGACTTTCTGGTGTGCGCACTGGTGGCCAGCACTTCTCTAGCCACACTCCTCCCAGAGACAAGCTTCTGGGCTTCATCCTGACACTGGAATTGTCACTGTCTCTCACTTCTGTAAGAAGAACTTGGAGAAGACAGTCTTGCTGTTTGTTTTCCTACTAGGAATCCTGGCCTTCCTTGGAGCCATGATTATAGGTAAACTGTACCCTGAGGGTCAGCAAGTCCTTCCTCTGGGGCCACAGTGGTGGAAAGGGAACCAGGGCGTGGGGAAGTGGGCGGGGCCAGGCTCTGGCCATGTTTGCCATACCCTTGGAAAAGCTTCACCTGGAAAACACTGGAAGTGTATGTTTAACAACAAATTGTCAGGGGCTGGGGATTTAGCTCAGCGGCACAGTGCCTGCCTGGCAAGCGCAAGGTCGTGAGTTCGATTCCCGGTCCCGGAAAAAAAAACAAAAAAACAAGCAAACAAAACCAACAAATTGTCCAGTTTGATCAGCAATGACTAAAAGTACATTTTAAGATTACAGTCATGTAGCTTCTCCTTACCAGCAGTGATAAAAAGAGCTGGGGAAAGCAGAAGACAAGCAAAGGAAGGTGGCCACTGAGTAGAAGGACATTACCTCTGTAAAGCGTGTGTCACGTACGTGCTTACAGTCACACATCATTTAATGACAGAGTAAGTCTCAGGAAATGCATCCTGAGACGATTTCTTTGTGTGAACACCATGATTAGTCAGTGTAATCTTACAGGACCCCTTTTGTATGTGTGGCCTGTCACCGTGACAGAAGGTCATTTTGCAGAGTATTACTGAACTTGTACTTAACGTGGGATAAGACCCCCTGTTGGACATCTGCCTTGGGTTTCCAGAGTTAAGGGTGTGAGGGGTTTGGGCATCAGGGTGGGACTGTGTAACACTATGGTCCCCTCTGCCACCTTCTAAACTACAGGTGGTCTTACAGGGATGGGGTGACCTTCAAGCTATCAGGCAGTTGCTACAACCACACAAAGTGCCGTGCAAGGTTTGGAATGAGGCCCACCACGTGTGTCCCTGTCAGGCAGCAGAGCCCTGGCCTGGGAGACACCTGGCTCGGGTTTAAGCCATAGCTGGCCACCTACCTCCAGGTAGGAGAGGGATCCAGACACTGCCTACCCCACTGGGCTGTCATGAAAATGAAACTAAATAACGATATGGGCCAGTCAGATTGGAAATAGTGTGGGATGGGGTTCTTTGCTGGAAGACTGGTAACTGTGCTTCCACTGTATAGATGGGGGACAGGAAAATGTCTCTTTTTTTGGTTTTTTGAGATAGGGTTTCGCCATGTAGCCCAGGCTGGCCTCAAACTCTCGACAGTTCTCCTGCCTTTGTCTCCTGAGTGCTGGGATTACAGGCGTGCACCACCATACTTGGCTTGTCTGTGACTTTTATTAGTGAGGTCTCCCAGCAGTGTGCTGGCCAAGGAAGCCAAATCCAAAGCAAAACTAGGAAATAATGGCCCAGAGAGAAGAGGGCCTGAGCGGAAGGGGTACCTGGCTTTCGGCCATCTACACACACACCCTCTGGTCCTCAATAGTAATTTTTCAATGTTATGTAATAGCCCTTTCCCCCAGAGCTGCAAGCCGCACCCTTCTTGTGATTGCAAGGTAGATACCAGGAAGGTGTCCTCAGATGATGTCTACTGGGGATTCCCGGTTGTTTATAGGTCTTACAGTTTTGAGGAACAGTTACCTTGTGTAAGTTAAATAGAAAGGGACCTTTTCTCTAGCTGCTTGCTTAAATATAAAGATGTTTGGATACTGCTTTCGTTGTAGTTGGAGGGTGTCCCCCAAGGATTCATGTAGCAGAAGCTTGGTGTGTAGTGTGGCAATGTTAAGAGGTGGTGGACTCTTACATAAAATCCTTAGTCTCATTTATTTCATTATAGTAATGGAAAACAAACTAGTATGGGTCCTGATTATGCCTAAAATCTTCAAGGAGCCTGAGCATGAAAAACTGAGGTTTGCCTTCCTGGAGTTCTGTAGAAATCCACACCCAGCTCTGTGTTTGGTGCCTTTATAATCGACGCCCACTGACAGTTAGGAGCAGGCTTTCTGCTTTGCTTCTGTGTGTCACTTGAATTCAGGCTTTGGGCTGCGCTGTGCATTTCTGTGGACGTCCTGCAGAGGGGCAGGGGGAGATGTCTGGGCATTTGTCCCGATTAACCATGTGCTGTGCAGCATCAGAGGTCAGTAAGCCACAGCACTGGGGCGCATGTCTTTGGGTAGGACTGAGGAATCCTCACCTTCCCCCATGGCACAGGCCCCCACAGTCGGCCTTCCAGGCCATGGGTTGGGCTGTTGGGAACTTGTCTAGATTTGGCGGTGCTGTCTTCCCCACCCTGAGGATTTTATCTGATGCCAAGTTCCACCTGCAGTGAGAAGATGTTTTGTACTTGGTATCTCTGCAGTGATGTGGAGCCCTCTCCTCAGAAGTGAGGAGTTGACAGGCTGTGCAGGCTCTGCTCCCTCATGAGTCCCCACAGAGCCTGTGGTTAGGGAACAGCTAGAAAATAGGGCTGATGCGGTCTCCAGCTGGGATAAGTGTGGTTAGCGCCAGCTGTGTGCAGGAGAAAGTACCTCAAAGTAAGAGAACCATTTTGTTTTGTTTTTTCTGAGGCTCTTGTTTCTCCTGCTTGAGCAGAGAGACCCTCCAAACCAGTACCAACAA